TGAGCTCAAAGTAGCAGAAATCTAAATTTTACCAATGTTCAAGAGTAAACAAAAGACTCACACGTCTGATACATGACAGCTGGTGGGTCTAATACACATTCACAAATGTGTGATATTATTTATACAATTTATTACATATTGCAAAAAAGTAAAACTTCTATTTTTTGGTTGAATAAAAATTTATTATGTGAATAAAAAAATCAAAATGGAATCATTTGTAAAGCCTGAAAACGTAACTAATGAACAAAAGGAAATGTTAGTTTTGTTTTTTCTGGACCCTATTTTGAAATTGGAATATTTTGAACTTTGCATAACCCTTTCAGGTCCGTCCCGTAGATCTACGGCTTTACGTCAGGGGCTGAACCGTAATCTACGTCTGAGCTTAGCTCACTCTGATAAACTGTGAGTGTAAATTGGGCCTAATAGAGAGAAAACATCTATGTGGTATGTGTGCACCACATAAAACAAACCTGCAGCACACTGTGTATAATGAGAGAAAAAAAACTGAGACCGTGATTTTCGATTAAAACAGCAACTTTGCAGTGTTTTTTTCGTATGTTTTTTATAGTGTATTTGTGATTTCTTGTCTCATTGATAGAATGGAAGACATATTACAGAAATAGAGATAATTTTGATTGTTTTAGCACGGAAAGGCTTGAAACTGAGCTCAAATGGCGGAAATGTTAAATTTTTTGCATTGTTCAAGATAAACAAATATTTGACCCAACCTAATACACTCAGCTGGGGGTCTAATATAAATGCACAAATTTGTGATGATATTAACAATTATTACAATATTGCATAACAGTAAATCTTCTATTTTTGGTGTGAATAAAAATTCATTAAAGTAAATAAAAAATCAAGTGGGAAAATATTTGTAAAGCCTCAAAACATAACATGAACAGAGGAAATGTTAGTTTAGTGCCAGGGAAAACCTACATTGTTTATTCTGGACCCTATTTTGAAATTGGAATATTTTGAAAATTTGTGTTAAATTGGCCCAAAATTTCCAATTCCGGTCACTTTATTTTGTAGTTGAAACAGTTTGACTTGGCGATTTCTTTTGCTCAACGATAGAATAGAAGTAATACTAGTGAAATAGCTAAGAATTTGTCGACTGGAATAATGTAATTGGCCTAAAATGGAGTCAAAGTCGGCAAAAATCGCCGATTTGTAAATATCGCCGACACATCAAAATTCACAAGAGCATAATTTCGTCAATTTTCCATCAAATTTTGTACTTTTTGTTTTATTACATTCACAAAAAGATTCTCTACCATTTCCAAAAAAAAATAAAAAAATTTTTTTTTTGAAAATTCTTGGACGCTGGGCACCACTTCAGATTTTGGCCTTGGACCCTGAAAGGGGTTAAATTGGCCAAATTACCATTTCCGGTCACTTTATTTTGTTGTTGAAACAGTTGACTTGGCAATTTCTTGTGCTCAATCGATAGAATAGAAGTAAACTATGAAATAGCTAAGAATTTGGTTGACTGGAATACTATAATTGACCTAAAATGGGAGTCAAAGTCGGCAAAATCACCGATGCATAAATATCGCTGACACATCAAAATTTGCGAGAACATAATTTCGTCAGTTTTCCATCAAATTTTGTACTTTTTGTTTTATTACCTTCAGAAAAAGATTCTCTACCATTTCATAAGAGAAAATAACAAAATTATTTTTTGAAAATTCTTGGACCCTGGTGCACACTTTGAAATTTGGCTTCTGGACCCTGAAAGGGTTAAGCATCGTTGTATAGTATGTCTGGGTGGGTGGCCAGGAGAGCTACCACACCTGACTTCTTAGAGTAAATACTACTCATCTTTTGCCCTACATTAAGACTAACAAATATTTTGAGGTAAATAATTAGTGTACTGTGTGTTATTTTACTTTTTAATGCCTAGCTCTGTTGCTAACTTAATATATGTTAGTGTAAACTTGTTATCCAGCATTTATATGCATTTATAAATGGAAAAAATGGAGTTCTGCTTTCCGGCAGTAGCCTGGAACCTAAAATGCTGAATAAGTGGGGCCCTACTGTACTTGGAATAAGGTAAACTGAATAGCTTTCATGGCATAGACCTAAAAATTTCCCCTCATTTTGTCTTAAAATGTGTGAATTATTTATCAATATACGTATTGAGTTGCACATTTGTAGGTCTGTTTCCACACATCGTGTAAAGGTCTTGTCATTATTAAAAGTGAATCTATATTTAATCAATGAAGTAGATATCTTTATGAGCTCATCATTAACAGTGTTATTGAAGTTAGGTTTTGTTGGATTACATTTGGTTGAATTATGAAATTTACTTAGAAAATAATGCTTCTCTTCTGTTAAAAATATCACTTGTCTCCATTTTACAACCCACTTAGTAAAGATGAATTTACATCATAAATGATATTTTTTTTTTAATTTTATCACTTAAATAAACAATTCACAAAATAGTTATTTTCCTGTGGAATAGATAATATGGTTGTTATATGCAGCCTCTCCTCACTTAGCGACTTACTCGTTTACTGACTCCTTGGACTTACGATGGGCTCTCTGATCAGTATTCATACCTAAATAATGTATATTAGAGCTGATTTCCTCTTTTCAGTTTATTTCAGTATACAGTACACTACTGTATAAACATTTAAAAATATTATAAATGGTGCAGAGATTCCATAAAAACAATATCAGAGATGGTTGATACAAACTCACTAACATTTTGGCATGCTTCTCACTTAGCGACGAATTTGTTTAACCCTTTCAGGTTCCCCAGGCCCTCTCCCAGACTTGTTCTCAGGGTCGCTCAGATTTCAAAAAAAAAAAAAAATTATTTTTTCTTATGAAAAGATAGAGAATCTTTTCTCGATCATAATGACACCAAAAGTATGAAATTTGATGGAAAACTTACGGAATTATGCTCTCGCGAAGTTAACGGTCTCAACGATGTTTACGCATCGGCAATTTTGCCCACTTTGAGCCCTATTTTCGGTCAATTCCAGTGTACTAGTCGATAAAAATCATAACTATTTCGTTAGAACTCCATTTTTTCTATTGAATGAGTACAAGAAATACAGTGGTCAGAATTTATCAATTTTGCCAATTTCACACAAATTTCAAAAGATGCCAATTTCCAAATAGGGTCCAGAATAAACGAGAAAGACATTCCTGGCACTAAAATAACATTTCCTCTGTTCATTAGTCATGTCCCCATGCCCCTCTTACATTTTTTTGCTTTCCACTTTGAATTTTTATTCTCACAAAAAAATAGATTTACTGTTATGCAGACTACTGCATTAGTGTAGAAATGGTATAAATGATATCAGCACACCTGTGAAAGAATATTAGACTCACCAGTTGACTTGTATTGGACGCTTAGCATGATTTATTTACTTTTGAACTTTGGTAAAAATTGAATATTTCTGCTACTTTGAGCTCAATTTCAAGGTACTTTTCATTGTAAAACCAGTCAAAATCATCTCAATTTCTGTAATATGTCTTCCATTCTATAAAATGAGACCAGGAAAACTAGAATACATTAATAAATACCATACGAAAATGCAGTGCAAAGTCGCTGTTTTAATCCAAAAATACGGTCAAAGTTTTTTTTTCTCATTACGCACTGTGTGCTGCAGGATTTTTTTTATACCGCACACACTGACCACATAGACCCATTCTTTCATATGTAGGCCTACCAGCTTTCTCTCACTAGATTTGAGGGCGCTAGAATTTAGGCGTACTAGTACGTCAAAAACCCTGGTGCGTAAGCCGTACTAGTACATCCGAAACCCTGAAAGGGTTAACGATGTGGTCTCAGGAACGGAACTTTGTTATTAAATGAGGAGAGGCTGTGTAATATAATATGTTAATGGATTTCTATCCTGGGAAACTACATAATGACATTATTGACAACTAAGTTGATAGATAAAAATTTCCACGGTAAACATTTTTCCCATGTTATGTATGAGAATGTATGAAAGTACAGTGGACCCCTGCCTTATGATATTAATCTGTTCCTGAGAGCGCGTCGTAAGCCGAAATTATCGTTAGCCGAATTAATTTTCCCCATAAGAAATATTTTATTTTTTTATTATCACACTGGCCGATTCCCACCAAGGCAGGGTGGCCCGAAAAAGAAAAACTTTCACCATCATTCACTCCATCACTGTCTTGCCAGAAGAGTTCTTTACACTACAGTTTTTAAACTGCAACATTAACACCCCTCCTTCAGAGTGCAGGCACTATACTTCCCATCTCCAGGACTCAAGTCCGGCCTGCCGGTTTCCCTGAACCCCTTCATAAATGTTACTTTGCTCACACTCCAACAGCACGTCAAGTATTAAAAACCATTTGTCTCCATTCACTCCTATCAAACACGCTCACGCATGCCTGCTGGAAGTCCAAGCCCCTCGCACACAAAACCTCCTTTACCCCCTCCCTCCAACCTAAGAAATAATGGAAATCAAGTTAATCTGTTCCTGACACCCCAAAGTATGAAAAAAATTTTTTTTTACCACATAAAATATTAATTTTAATACACACAAACTGAAGAAGACATGCACAATTACTACTCTGCTAAGAATAGAATACATGACACTTACCTTTATTGAAGATCTGGTGATGATTGATAGGATGGGAGGAGGGGAGAGTGTGGAAGTTATTGTTTAGAAGGGGAATCCCCTTCCATTAGGACTTGAGGTAACAAGTCCTTTTCCGGGGTTACTTCCCTTCTTCTTTTAATGCCACTAGGACCAGCCTGAAAATCACTGGACCTCTGTCGCACAACAAATCTGTCCATAGAGCTCTGTACCTCCCGTTCCTTTAAGACTTTCCTAAAATGGGCCATAACATTGTCATTGTACAGGTTGCCAACACTCCTTGCAGTAGCTGTGTCAGGGTGATTTTCATCCATAAAGGTTTGCTGTTCAACCCACTTTGCACACATTTCCTTAATCTTTTTTTCAATTCCATACTAATTCTCGCTCTTTTTACCACAGGGATGGCACTAGAAGCTTTCTTGGGGTCCATGGTGACTTATTTTGCAGTTACAAGCACTAAAAACACTGGGATAATGTGAAATGTACCGAATGCATGCGTAGATGCGACCGCACTGGCTGGCTTGTAAACACTGGTGCTGAGGCCACACCTGGGATGTGTCCCGGACGAATCACGTAAGGCGAGTTTTTTATCGTGAGGCGAGGCAAAATTTTTGTGTTCAAATGCTTTGTATGGCGGATTTAACGTAACGCGATGTGTTCGTGAGGCAGGGGTCCACTGTATAGTTATGCCAACACTCTTGTATGGGTGTGAGGGATGGGTTGTGAATGTTGCAACAAGGAGAAGGCTGGAGGCAGTGGAGATGTCATGCCTGAGGGCAATGTGTGGTGTGAATATAATGCAAAAAATCCGTAGTTTGGAGATTGGGAGGAGGTATGGGATTGCCAAAACTATTATCCATAGGGCTGAGGAGGGGTTATTGAGATGAGGGTTGTTGAGGTTGTTTGGACATGTAGAGAGGATAGAACGAAATAGAATGACTTCAAGAGTGTATAAATCTGTAGTGGAGGGAAGGCGGGGTAGGGGTCGGCCTGGGATAGGTTGGAGGAGAGGGTAAATGAGGTTTTGTGTGCGAGGGGCTTGAATTTCCAGCAAGCGTACATGAGCATGTTAGATAGGAGCGAATAGAGACAAATGGTTTGTAGGACTTGACGTGCTGTTGGAGTTTAAGCAAGGTAACATTTACAAAGGGATTCGGGGAAACCGTCAGTCTGGACAACAGCTTAATTTGTTTGTGCTTTTCAGGAAAGATAACAAACGAGATCATGAAGAGAGTGATTCATCTTCACCAGAGAAGTTCATGAGAATGGAAGACACTACACACGCCATTAACAAGTATAACAGTAAATTATTGTACTGTACTGTACATATATCATTTTAAATGCCTTAATTCATGGTTATATATAATGATTGATTATTCCATCAAGTACTGTATCATTAATGACAAACTGCTGCAGTGTTACTTTTTATCTCTTTAATAAAATATATGAGTTCTTGAGGATATTTTAGTGTACGTTACACTGATGGAAGTATCATACTTGAAAATTATTAAAATACTAAATCTTTAAAGTGTAATACTATACATTACTTTTCAGTAATGTGTGTAAAGTCAATACCCTTGCTCAGTTCCAATCTGAGACTGGTGAAACAGCTGGTCCTCCCATTGAGCTACCTCTGTCTCTGGCTCGTGATAAACTCCAACAAATTCTAAATACTCTACTTGAACAGGTATGTTTAACATGTTTTTGTGATTTATGATTATTTCTATGAAATGTAGAATATACTTCTAGGTATTTAAGAGTAATTTTAGATAAGCATATAACAAGTTGGAATTATTACTTTACTTGTAAATAAATAAAGCATAACTTTGCTATAATATGGTTATGGGAGATAAGAAATGCAGTGGAACCTCAGCTTACGAGTTCAATCTGTTCCATGACATAGCTCGTATCTTTATCTGCTCGTATGCTGAGTCAATTTTCCTCATTTAAATTAATTGAAATGCCATTAATCCGTTTTAGCGGAATTCCTGCTCTAATGAGGCAGGACAAAATGCTTTCAGCATAACGCTAATATCAACTCTTCGGCTTATTTATCTATCACAATTCATCTAATAATAATAATAATAATAATAATAATAATAATAATAATAATAATAATAATAATAAACAATATAAATAACACAGAAACTTGATATATACTCTAGAATGAGTAAAACATGTCATTACATATGTGACTATGTAGTGGTGGTGGCGGCGGAGGAGAGTTTGTTGTTTGGAGACAAGACAAAATGCTACTTCAATACGATGCTAATATAAACTCTACAGCTTATTTATCTATCATAATTGATCTATTATGATATAATAAACAATATAAATAACATAGAAACCTGATATATACTGTAGAATGAATAAAATATGTCATTATGTGACAAGTGGAGAGCCATTTCCACTCCTGCATTGTTGTGGTATTCACTGCCATCTAGTGATGGCTTTTCGAAGCTCACTTGTTGTTATAGTACGTATTATTATTATTATTATTATTATTATAGTTTTATTATATTATGTGTATGTATTATTATTATTATTATATTATTATTATTATTATTATTATTATTATTATTATTATTATTATACAGTGGAACCTCAAATATTGAACTTAATCCGTTCCAGGAGCTAGTTCTAAATTCGAAAAGTCTGAAAATCGAAGCAATATTTCCCATAAGAAATAATGGAAATACAATTAATTCGTTCCAGAAACCCAAAAATATTCACAAAAAGATATATTTTATAGAGATTAATTACAGTTTTACATACACAACAAATATAGTGTTCAATTATGTATATAAATATAAAATAACATTTTTACTTACCTTTATTGAATATTGGTGATGGCATCTGGAAGATAGGGAGGAGGAGAGAGGGAGTTGGGGTTAATGTTTGGAAGGAGAATCCCCCTCCATGAGGACTTCAGGTAAAACCCTCTCTGGAGTTACTTCCCTTCTCTGTCTTTTAATGCCACTAGGATCAGCTTGAGAGTCACTGGACCCCTGTCTCACAAAATAACTGTCCACAGTCCTCTGTTTCTGGCGCCTTTTTAACATTTCCCTTAAATGGACATGGTTCTGTCACTGAACTGGTTCCAGAGTTTTCTGTACCAGATCGGCATGCAACTTCCTTGCCTTTTCGCAAATAATCATCTCTGAAACACTATCACCTGCCATCTCTTTTTCCTTGATCCACACCAGCAACAACTTCTCAACCTCTTCAACTATCTGTGTCTTTTTTTGGTTAGCATATTAACACCTTTCACAACATCAGCTTCCTTCATTTGTTCTTTCTTTGCCAGGATAGAAGCGATGGTCGACTTTTTCCCATCCATCCTGGCAAGCTCAGCAAGTCTCGCACCACTCTCATACTTCTGTATTATTTCCTTCTTCACATCTATGGTGTTTCTCACTTTCTTTACCACAGGGTACCACTAGCAAGTTTCTTTGGGCCCATGGTAGCTTATTTCACAGTCCCACAAGCACTAAACACAATGAAATAATTGTAAAATGTTTGAATGAGAGCGTAGGTTAGTATTCGCTCAAGCATCAACAAAGCCAGACTGGCTCACGGCGCGCGGGGGCTCCTGGGCTGGCGGACAGGTCGGGTACCCGGCAGTCTGAAAATAGGGGTGCGTTCGATAATAGGGACAAAGTTGGTTCGAAAAAAGGGTTCTATTTTTGAAATGTTCGATAAGTGATATGTACGAAATTTGAGGTTCCACTGTATTATTATTATTATACAGTGAAACCCAAATTTAGTCCTTAATCTGTTACAGAAAGTCGATCTAAATCCGAAACGGACGAAAACCGAAGCAATATTTCCTATAAGAAATAATATAAATCCAATTAATCCGTTTCAGATACCCAGAAATATTAACAAAAAATAAATTTTATAGAGAGTAACTATAGTGTTTCAGCTCTTCTCTGTGGTTGTCCACCAACTCTTTCACATCCTGACCACTCGCATCCAACCCCATGGACTTCCCCAAAGTCACAATAGATTCCACAATAGGCATAGGGTTGTCAAGTTTACACTAACTTATATTAAGTTAGTAATAGAACTAGGCATTAAAACACAATAAAAAGTAAAATACATACACAGTATATTCATTACGTACCTTAAAATATTTGTAGTATTTATTCGTAGTCCCAGGCGGACTACATCCGCCTAAGCTATACCTACTGGTTACATACACTGAGGCCCACAGCCATATTATTACCATCGACATACCATGTTCACTGAGTTTAATCGTTTCTAACAACTACCTTAGATGCCATCATAAACAAAGGGAGAACTAATGAACAATTCATGCCTAGAACTGTAAACAAAAGCGTTATGTAAAGTGTATTAAGAACGGTGACTGGGCCAGATGCAGATTCATACAGTTTTCTGTAATGCTGGACCAGAGAAAATGTAATGTTTTCCCTCCACCAACTCGCTCCTCTCTTTAAGATTTCCCTAATATGGGACATGGTTCTGTCACTGAACTTGTTGCAAAGATGGCTTGTTTCAGCTTGCTCAGGGTGGTACTTCTCCACAAACATTTGGACATCATTCCACTTGGCACAAATCTCTTAACTCTTTGAAGAAGGCACCTCATCCACTCCCTCTTCCTCCTCCTCTGAAGCAAGTTCCTGAGCTGTGGTCTGATACTGTTCCAGATGAAGCTCTTCCAGCTCTTCAGTGGTTAGCTCTTCCCTGTGATCCTCCACCAATTCTTCCACATCCTAGTCACTCACTCCAGCCTCAGGGTGTTCCCCAATGCCATAATATAGTCCACAACAGGCAGGGGGTCAGCTGGGACAGGGTCAGGGTCAGCCTCAAACCCTTCAAAATCCCTCTTTTGGACACAATCTGGCCACAGTTGTCTCTAAGCAGAGTTCAAAGCCCTGGAAGTCACTCCCTCCCAAGCCTTACCTATAAGGCTTATGGAGCTGTAGATACTGAAGTGATTCCTCCAGAACTCTCTTAGGGTCAACTTAGTGTCTGTGGTCACTTCAAAGCACTTTTCAAACACTGCTTTTGTGTAGAGTTTTTTGAAGCTAGAAATGACCTGCTGGTCCATGGGCTGGAGGAGAGGAGTGGTGTTAGGAGGCAAGAACTTCACTGTGATGAAACTGTAGTCCCTAGACAGTAGGTCTACCAGGTTTGGAGGATGAGCAGGAGGATTGTCCATTAACAGGAGGCACTTAAATGGCAAATTATTTTCTGGGAGGTATTTTCTCACACTGGGGCCAAACACTTCATAGACCCACTCTTTGAAAATTTGCCTTGTGACCCATGCCTTACTATTTGCTGTCCACAAGACACATAACTTGTTCTTATGACATTATTTTTCTTAAACACTTTGGGATTTTCTGAATGATGCACATGTAAAGGCTTTACTTTAAAATCAAAAGAGTTAGCCTGTCTTTCATAGGCTTGTGTCCTCGGAGGCCTTTTCCTCCTGAGTAATGTAGGTTCTCTTTGGCATTTTCTTCCAAAACAGGTCTGTTTCATCACAATTGAACACTTGTTGGGGTTTTAATTTTTCAGTGTCTACGTACCCCTTAAGCTCCTGTACAAACTTCTCAGTCACCCATTTGTCTGAACTGGCTGCCTCACCATGCCTTACAACATTGTGTATGCCACTACGCTTCTTAAATCTGTCAAACCAGCCTCTGCTGGCTTTAAATTCCCTATTAGCACTGGTTCCAGGAGTTTTCTGTACCAGATCATCATGCAGCTTCCTTGCTTTTTCACAAATAATCGTCTCTGAAACACTATCACCTGCCATCTCTTTATCCTTGATCCACACCAGCAACAACTTCTCAACCTGATCGGCTGTCTGTGGTCTATTTTTGGTTAGCATATCAACACCTTTCCCAACATCAGCTTCCTTGATTTGTTCTTTCTTTGCCAGGATAGAAGCAATGGTCAACTTGTTTTTCACATACATCCTTGCAAGCTCAACAAGTCTCACACCATCTCATTTTTGTATTATTTCCTTCTTCACATCTATGGCGTTTCTCACTTTCTTTACCACAGGGGTACCACTAGCAAGCTTCTATGGGCCCATGGTAGCTTATTTCACAGTCGCACATGCACTAAACACAATGAATTAATAGTGACATGTTTGAATGAGAGCGCAGGTTAGTGTTCACTCAAGCATCAACAAAGCCAGACTGGCTCACAGTGCCTGCGCGGGGATGCGGACAGAGCAGGCTGGCGGACAGGTCCTGTACCCAGTGGTTCGAAAGAAGGGGTGAATTCGATAATCGGGGCAAAGTTGGTTTGAAAAAAGCGGCTGAAACTCAAAAAGTTTGATAAGCGATGCATGCGAAACTCGGGGTCCCACCGTATATTGTTTTGGATGTGTTCGTGATACAGAAAGAATTAAGTGGTTTTCATTTGTAGATGAATGGTTCACAGAACCGACACATTGATAAATTAGACACGTGTGCAACTCTTGGATATCTTTATTAAGGAAACGTTTCGCCACACAGTGGCTTCATCAGTCCATACACAGGAGAAGCTTGAAGAATAGGAGGAGAATGAGGTAATCAGTCCCTCAACCTTGAGTCGATGTGGTCAGTCCATCAATCTTGAGTAGATTCTACTCAAGATTGATGGACTGACCACATCGACTCAAGGTTGAGGGACTGATTACCTCATTCTCCTCCTATTCTTCAAGCTTCT